GAAATTAATGAGTCTTCCTGTCACATCAGTCCACACCATCACATACCCTTTCACTGTGAAAATCTGCAAGACCGGCCGGATCTGGTGGCTCACACCTGTAATCCTAGCACTTTGGGAGGCCAAGGCAGGCGAACTGCCTGAGCTCAGGAGTTCAAGACCAGCCTGGACAACATGGTGAAACCCAGTCTACTAAAATACAAAAGAAATCAGCCAGACTGGGCATGGTGGCTTACTCCTGTAATTCTAGCACTTTGGGAGGCTGAGGCAGGCAGATCACATGAGGTAGGGAGTTCAAGACCAGCCTGACCAACATGGAGAAACCCCGTCTCTACTAAAAATACAAAATTAGCCAGGCGTGGTGGCACATAGCCTGTAATCCCAGCTACTCAAGAGGCTGAGGCAGGAGAATCACTTGAACCCAGGAGGCAGAGGTTGCGATATACCGAGATCTTGCCATTGCATTCCAGCCTGGGCAATAAGAGTGAAACTCCATCTCAAAAAAAGAAAGAAATTAGCTGGGCGTGGTGGTGTACACCTGTAGCCCCAGCTACTTGGGAAGCTGGGGCAGGAGAATTGCTTGAACCTAGGAGGCGGAGGCTGCAGTAAGCCAAGATCGTGCCACTGCACTCGAGCCTGGGCAACAGAGCGAGACTCCAACTCTGAAAAAAAACAAAACAAGGCCGGGCGCGGTGGCTCAAGCCTGTAATCCCAGCACTTTGGGAGGCTGAGGCAGGTGGATCACGAGGTCAAGATATCGAGACCATCCTGGTCAACATGGTGAAACCCCGTCTCTACTAATGATACAAAAAAATTAGCTGGGCATAGTGGTGTGTGCCTGTAATCCCAGCTACTCAGGAGGCTGAGGCAGGAGAATTGCCTGAACCCAGGAGGCGGAGGTTGTGGTGAGCCGAGATCGCGCCATTGCACTCCAGCCTGGGTAACAAAAGCGAAACTCCGTCTCAAAAAAAAAAACCCACAAGTCTGATCTTCAAGCATCCTGGTCCGATTTACAAATCATAAGCTTCCCTGAATTTTAAGAGTTACCAGTGAAAGGCAAAAAAAAACAAAAAAAAGCAATAAGGCTGGGCGAGATAGCTCATACCTGTAATCCCACAACTTTGGAAGGCCAAGGTGAGTGGATCACTTGAGGTCAGGAGTTCAAGAGACTAGCCTGGCCAAGATGGTGAAACCGTGTCTCTAGTAAAAATATAAAAAATTAGCCAGGCATGTTGGCGCATGCCTGTAATCCCAGCTACTTGGGAGGCTGAGGCAAGAGAATTGCTTGAACCTGGGAGGTGGAGGTTGCAGTGAGCCGACACTGCGCCACTGCACTCCAGCCTGGGCAACAACAACGAAACTCCATCTCAAAAAAAAAAGGAAGAAAAATGGCAATAAGAGATGACTTTCCCCAAAAAGGCTTGATGCAAATTAAATAGCTGGCTGTAAGGATATGAGAACAGAAAAATGGCAATTTGGTTTCACTATGCCTTCCATGGAGAATTTTCTTTCTTCAAATCTGCCGAGTGTAACCTGTCCAAACACATGTTTTAATATTTTTCACACTCTTTTATTTTACATTTATTCCTACTTTCAAATTAATTAATTCAAGGGGTAATTGCCCAAATTTTAAATTGAGTTCAATTTCATCAATCTGGACATAAAGAAGAGAGTAAATCTTATTTTAAAATGTTTAATTTTTACTTTTTTTTTTTTGTAATACATAGCAACAGTCTCCCTATGTTGCCCAGGCTGGTCACAAACTTCTGGATTCTGGCAATCCTCCTGCCTTAGCCTCCCAAAGGGCTGGGATTACAGACATGAGCCTCTGCACTCAGCCAAAAAAGAAATTGAATCCTCCTCCATTGTTTCAAATATAAAACTGGGATTTCCCTTGTAGAATACTGGGTTATTTTTAGAATACAGGAAATGACTAAGATGTGCTGTCCCCACACGGTGCTCCCCTTCATGGGATCTGATCTCAACCTGGCTTCCCTGTGAGAAGAAAAACGTGGCAGCAAAGACAAAGTATGATTTTGCATAGCAGCAGCAGGCACATCAGGAAACTATACAGGGACTAAATAGGTATTGGAACTCAGTTTTGCTCCACAATGAGGTCACGGAGAGGGAGAATGAGGGCACCCCAGTCTCTTCCCTTCCCATAAGGAAATGTACCCTTTTCTAATCCTAAAGAGTATTTGGTTCACACAGTTCGATCCTTATGTTGCAAAGGAGTCTAAGAACTCAAGCAGCTGCACTAAGTGAGATGCATCACAGCCAAGAGTACTCTCATTCACCACATGTGAGACTTAAGTATGCATGTGTTCAATCCTGTCCAGTGAGATGTCCAATGTGATTTCCTAGCTTCCTATTCAGGAAGGAAGGAAAGTCTGCTACCCAAGTATGGTCTGATATGCAATGGCAGACTCAGTCATCTCAGAACTGAAGGCAGGTAAGAGAGAACAGTGAAATCCAAATTCTGACTCACAGAACTTCAGATGTATGGCATGACACTCCTCTTTTCAATAACTACTCATAGGTAACTTATCTATTTTCTTGAGCTTAAAAGGGCAAAAATCAGCCAGGACTGGTGGCTCATGCCTGTAATCCTAGCACTTTAGGAGGCCAAGGTGGGAGGACTGCTTGAGGCCAGAAGTTCAAGACCAACCTGGCCAACATAGCAAGACCCTGTCTCTAGTTATTGGTTTTTTTTTAAAAAAGGGGCAAAAATCCATACAAACCATTTGAAATATCCAAGACCTGTCAATTTCTTAAACAGACAACATTTCTGGGTGATAGAAATTCAAGAAAAATTTGAACATTTGTTAAAATGTTCTAGAAAATACTGCCAGTAGTTTTCATAGTAAATTCAATCAAAAAGAAACTAAATTAAGGACCTATAAGGACACTTGCTTTATGCTTGAAAATGTACACAGTAATATTTAAAAAAAAAAAAAAAAGTCTACCTTAGGCTGGGTGCAATGGCTCATGCTTGTAATCCCAGCACTTTGGGAGGCTGACCCAGTCTACAAAAGAAGCCAGGCACAGTGGCACATGCCTGCAGTCCCAGCTACACGGGAGGCTAAGGTGAGAGGATCCCCTGATCCCAGGAGTTTTAGGCTGCTGTGAACTATGATCATGCCATTGTATTCCAGTCTGGGCAACAAAGCAAGATCCCATCTCTTAAAAAGAAAACTCTATTTTTGACACACAAGTCAAAAGCAAAACCTCTGTTCAGAAAATTTACTCGTATCTGGGCAATGCTGAGCACTAGGGCGGGGACTTGTTCCCAGACCTTCAGACCAACTGTGGAACACATCCTGGGGCATTACAGGATGGAAAATAGGCAGCCAGGGGAAATGTCTGAATCTTAGGCGTATGTATTAGGTAAGACAAGATCTCACTCTGATTTGTGATTGGGTCTCGTGCCACACTCTGAAAACAGACACCAGGCCTCCAATCAAGGATCCCTCTGCTCCGGAGATACTGTAGTCAAGCCTCTGGACTCCCAGGCACCTTTCCACTGATATGTCCTGCTCCCCAGGTATGTCGGTTGATTATCAATTACAACTCAAACGTGTGCCTGAAACCATGGTGGGGCCCTGTAACATCCCTGTGCCCAGGTCCAAAGTGAGGCTCTGGGCAAACCAGGCAGAGACCATGCCTGTCCTCCTTAATCTACTGTACTCCACTTGCTTCTCAGATGTTCTCCAGATTGAATGCTGCTCTGAGGATGAGTCCATCCTTTAAGATTGACCTTAAGTATCAAGAGTCTGGTACCTGGAATTATAATTAAGATAATGATAAACTCTTTTAATTTAATTTGATTAATTTATTTATTTGAGACAGCATCTCACTCTGTCACCCAGGCTAGAGGGCAGTGGTCCGATCTCAGCTCACTGCAGCCTCTGCCTCCCCAGTTCCACCAATTCTCATGCCTTAGCCTCCCAAGTAGCTGGGATTATAGGTGCATGCCACCATGCTTGGCTACTTTTTGTATTTTTAGTAAAGATGGGGTTTTACCATGTTGGCCAGGCTGGTCTCAAACTCCTGGCCTCAGCTGATCTGCTCACCTCTGTCTTCCAAAGTGCTGGGATTATAGGAGTGAGCCACTGCACCTGGCTAATTTTATTTTTCATTTATTTATTTATTTATTTAAAAAAATTTTTTTTTTTTTTTTACAAAGATAATCTTTATTGACAGTCACAGGCCACAGGGGTGAGCCCTGAGGTTTGGGTTCTGGGGTGAAGAAGAACTCCTGCCTCCTGCCCTGGGCCTCTGCTGGCTAAGGAGGCACAAAGTGAGGGAACCCCCCACAAGGTGCTCAGACTACAACCAGGGCCTCCCTGGCAGCCCACGAGTTTATGTGCCTCAGAGACAGGCCCCTTACAGAGCTGACCTGGAGCCCACCATCCCCACAGCCTGTGTGAGCATGAAGCCAGGACTCCCCCAAGTGGGCTGTGCCCCAGGCTTGTAACTGATACCAGTGGAGGTTGGCAGCTGCCCCTCTTGGCACCTAAGACAGAGAAGGCAGCTGCTGCCATGAAGAACAAAGACGCTCTGAGGACAGACTTGCCGGGGCTGAGGTGAAGGATGCATGGAGGCAGGCCCCGCCCATGGTCTGGTCAGCTGCCCCTGCCACCGCTACTTTTCTAGTCTAAGGCTGTAACCTTGGTCAGGTTCCCAGCTTCCCTCTTCAGGACACTAAGTAAAGTCTGGGAGCTCTCCAGGATCTGGAGGAAGGTGTCCTCCATCTCTGCAGTGGTCCGGTAGAACTTGTTGCGAACAGCAATCCTGTGTGCTAGGTTCTCGTTGACGAGAGCCAGCTTCTCTGTTAGCTGCCTCAACTCATTCTGCGCTGCTTCTTATCTTCCTCCTGCTGGATCTGCTGGCACAGCTCCTCCTGCTTCTGGCACAGCTCCTTTATGCACTCGACCAGCTCGTTGTTGTAGTTCTGCAGTATCATACCCTGCTGGGTCAATGCTGCCCGGATCCCCCTATTTATTTTTTTTGAGACAGAGTTTCACTCTTATTGCACAGACTGAAGTGCAGTGGCATAGTCTCAGCTCACTGCAAGCTCGCTGCAACTTCTGCCTCCTGGGTTCAAGCAATTCTCCTGCCTAAGGCTCCTGGGTAGCTGGGATTACAGGCATGTGCCACCACACCCGGCTAATTTTTTTTATTTTTAGTAGAGACAGGGTTTCACTATGTTGGCCAGGCTGGTCTCGAACTTCTGCCTCAGCCTCCCAAAGTGCTGGGATTATAGGCATGAGCCACTGTGCCGGGCTTTTTTTTTTTTTTTTTTTTGAGACGAGCTCTTGCTCTGTCACCTAGTGTAGTGGCACAATTACAGCTCACTGCAGCCTCAAACTCCTGTGCTCAAGGGATGTCCCATCTCAGCCTCCCAAGTAGCTGGAACTGCAGGCACAAGCTACCATGCCCATCTAATTTAAAAAAATGTTTTGTAGAGACAGGAGTTTTGCTATGTTGATCAGGCTGGTCTTAAATTGCTATCCTAAAGCAATACTCCCACCTCAGCTTTCCAAAATGCTGGGATAACAGATGTGAGCCACCACGCCTGACTTTTTTTTCCCCAAGACAGGGTCTCACTCTGTTGCCGAGGCTGGAGTGCAATGATGCAATCATGGCTCACAGTAACTTCAAACTCCTGGGCTCAAGCGAGCCTCCTTCCTCAGCGTTCTAAGTAGCTAGGACTATAGACACACACCACTGTATCCCTGGCATAGTTTGTCTTTTAAAGTCTGATCTGAGAGTCTCTTTAGGTTGGTAAATTTAACTCATCTACGGTGATTCTAATACTGTTATCAGACTTAACTGAATTTAATTCAGTCTCCTTATTTCAGGTTTTCTTTTCCCCTCCCCACTTTTTCCACATGTACTAACATGTTTTCTAATTACCATACTTCTTAGGTTTTTATCCCCCTTCATTCTTGCCTTCCATTAACTTTCCTTTTGCAAGTGTGGCAGTTTGCTAATCACCTCCTGATACCTATTTTCCTCTCCTTCCTTAGTTTGAGAACTCAAATTTTTAGCTGGACATGATGCAGTCCTGCTATACGGTACATCCCAGGCTCCCTGGAAGCCAGGTATTGTCATATGATTGGCCACTGAAATGTAAAGGAAGATTTGATGTATGATTTCTGAGAAATGTCCTAAAAAGGAAGGGGTAGGCCCTCCTTCCCTCTTTCCTCTCCCCACTACTGGAATGCAGGTCTAATTACTGCAGTTCTAGCAGTCACCTGGGCCAGAAGTGACCACCTTTGAAGTAGAATGTGGTCACACACAGTAAAGCAAAAAGACAAAACAGCTGGGTTTCTAATAATGCTATGGAGAATTATTATTTATCAGCAATGAATTGACTGCCTACATCAAAAATTATTTTCAGAAAGATGTAAGCCTCCATCTTGCTTAACATGCTAATTTGCAGGTTTTTCTCATTTGCCAGCAAGTCTTTCCTGACACAGCATGTTTCAAAGTTATACATTCAACTTTCCATTTCTATTAGTTGTTCTATTACCTTATTAGGATCTCTATTTTTATTTTTCCCCATAAATTACTTAAACTTACAACTGTTCACCTTTTTCAACCCCAAGAATAGCAGTTCAGGACATTCTCATCTCTCTCTCCTCTGGTCTGCTCTATACTAGCTCCTGCCCCTCACACCTATGTTGGCATTACCCAGAATTTACCCCTGGAATATTACAGATATTAGTTGCTTTCTTAAAGCTTATTATTATTGTTGTTGTACTTTTATTTTTTTCCTGAGACAGTCTCACTCTATTACCCAGGTTGGAGTGCACTGGCATGACCCAGGATCACTGCAATCCCTACCACCATTCTCATGCTTCAGCCTCCCCAGGAGCTAGCATTACAGGTTTATGCCACTGCACCTAATTTTCTTCTGTTTTTTAATAGAGATGGGATTTCATGCACCTGGCCTACTATTATTAAACCCTATTATTATTAAACTTTTTTTGTGAGACATTGTCTTGCTCTCTTACCAGGTGGGAGTGCAGTGGTGTGATCTTGGCTCACTGCAATCTCCGCCTCCCAGGTTCAAGCGATTCTCCTGCCTCAGCCTCCCAAATAGCTGGGACTACAGGCACACACCACCACCGCCGCCAGCTAATTTTTATATTTTAGTAGAGATGGGGTTTCACCATGTTGACCAAGATGGTGGTTGACCTTATTATCCGCCCACCTTGACCTCCCAAAGTGCTGGAATTACAGGTGTGAGCCACTATGCCCGGCTGATTTTTTTTTTTTTATTGTTGACGGGGTTTCACCATATTAGACACTGCACCCTGCCTATTATTAAACTTTTAATTGAAGTATTACATAGAGACATACATAACTCATGAATGCATAGTGGCCAGGCACAGTGGCTCATGACTATAATCCCAGCACATTGGGAGGCTGAAGCAGGCAGATCACTTGAGGCTAGGAGTTTGAGACCAGCCTGGCCAACGTGGCAAAACCTGGTCTCTACTAAAAATACAAAAATTGGCTACGCATGAGTGGCATGCAACCTGTAATCCCAGCTACTCGGGAGGCTGAGGCACAAGAATTGCTTGGACCCAGGAAACGGAGGTTACAGTGAGCCAAGATAATGCCACTGTACTCCAGCCTGGGTGACAGACTGAGGCTCCATTTTTTCATGAGTGAATAAATCAAGAAATTTACACCAAGTGATACATCCATGTAACCAGTACCCCAACCAAGAAAGAGGACAAGCCCCAGGCCCATAGGTGTCCTCCTCACACTTCAGTCACAATTCTTTCCAACACTAACCAGTCCTGACCTGGAGTCCCCAAGGTTAATTTTTCCTGTTATAAAGCTTTATTTCAACAGAATCATTATGCCATGCTTTGTGTCAACCTTCCTTCATTCACCATTTTCATAAGACTCATCACTATTGTGCACAGCTATACAGAATTTCATGTGTGCATACACTTACTGTAGTTTATCCATCTACTTTCCACAGACATTTGGGTTAGCTCGTTTGTGACTATGACAAGCAGTGCTAGCACAAACATCCTAAAATATGTATTTAAGAGAACATGGGATATATTTCTATTAGTTAAATGCCTAGCAAGAGGATTGTTGAGTAGCAGAATGCACATATAATTCTAAATTTTCTGCCTCTTTTTTTTACTGTTGTTGTCTGACTTTTTAGTATTGACTAGGAGTTTCTTTGAGACTCTGGATATAGGACCAGGAGTGGTAGCTCATGCCTATAATCCCAGCCCTCTGGAAGGCTTAAGCAGGCAGATCACTATAGGCCAGGAGTTCAAGACCAGCCTGGCCAACATGGTAAAACCCCATCTCTACTAAAAATGCAAAAATTAGGTGGACATGGTGGGTGCCTGTAGTCCCAGCTACTCAGGTAGCGGAGGCATCAAAATCACTTGAACTTGAGAGGCAGAGGTTACAGTGAGCTGAGATGGCACCATTGCACTCCAGCCTGGGCAACAGAGCAAGACTCTGTCTCAGGAAATTCAAAAAAATTTTGAACACAACTTGTCAGACATGTATTACAAATATCTTCTCTCACTATATGGCTTGCCTTTACTCTCCGGTGAACAAATTTTTTTTTTTTTTAATTTTTGAGATGGAGTTTTGCTTTTCTGAGACGGAGTCTCCAGGCTGGAGTGCAGCGGCACAATCTCGGCTCACTGCAACCTCCGCCTCCCGGGTTCAAGCGATTCTTCCGCCTCAGCCTCCCGAGTAGCTGGGACCACAGGCATGTGCCACCATGCCTGGCTAATTTTTTTGTATTTTTAGTAGAGACGGGGTTTCACCATGTTGGCCAGGATGGTCTCGATCTCTTGACCTCATGATCCACCCGCCTTTTTTTTTTTTTTTTTAAACGGAGATGACATCTTGCTGCTGTCACCCAGGCTGGAGTGCAGTGGCGGAATCATACCTCACCGCGGCCTCAAACTCCTGGATTCAAACAATGCTCCCACCTTAGCCTGTCAGGTAGCTGGGTCTACAGGCACCCACCATTGTGCTTAATCCCATCTATAAACTCCCTTTTGCCATGTCACCCAACATAGTCCCAGATGCTGGGAATTAGAATATGGACATCTTGGGGTGAGAGTGAGCACAGTTATGCTTACCATGCTATTTTATTCATCTTGTCAGGAACTGGCAACCAGGGTTTCTTAAACTGGAGTCCATGACTGGTCTTCAGGGGGTCTAACACTTCTTTTAAGAGTTCACAGTTTTCACGGTTTTCAAATGAGCTAGAAGCCCACTATTATGTAATGGTCACAGTCCAAGGCCTGACAGAGGGAAAGGGACAGAGCCCAATATTGTTCCCATAACTACTGGAACACAGATTTAATTTCCAAAAGTTATACTATAAGAAAAATTCATCACTTCTTTATCTCCCTTTCTAAGAACATGCACAGTTTCACATACCACATGAACATCTCCTGAGATAGACGTGTCTGTAGTTCCAGTTTTGTAGCTGAACAATTTCCCCAGCAAGCTCCCAAGGCAACAATGAGTAATAGGCTGCTGGGCAGAAACAGGTGGAATCAAACTATCATCTTTTTTTTGGGGCGGGGGGGGTGGTCAGAGTTTTGCTCTGTCACCCAGGCTGGAGTGCGGTGGCATGATCTCGGCTCACTGCAATCTCCACCTCCTGCATTCAAGAGACTTGAGTCTCAGCCTCCCGAGTAGCTAAGATTACAGGTGCCTGCCACCATACCTAGCTAATTTTGTATTTTTAGTAGAGACAGAATGTTACTATGTTGCCCAGGCTGGTCCCAAACTCCTGGCCTCAGGTGATCCACCTGCCTTGGCCTCCCAAAGTTCTGAGATTACAGGCATAAAGTGCCGTGCTTGGGCCTCAACTATCACTTTTGTTTTTTCTGAGACAGAGTCTTGCTCTGTCGCCAGTCACCAGGCTGGAGTGCAGTGGCATGATCTCGGCTCACTACAACTTCCACCTTCTGGATTTAGGCAATTCTCTTGCCTCAGCCTCCTGAGTAGCTGGGACTATAGGCATGCGCCACCACACCCAGCTACTTTTTGTATTTTAGTAGAGATGGGGTTTCACTATGTTGGCCAGGATTATCTTGATCTCTTGACCTTGTGATCCACCTGTCTTGGCCTCCCAAAGTGCTGGGATTACAGGCTTGAGCCACCACACCAGGCCCCCCCCCTTTTTTTTTGAGATGGAGTCTTGCTCTATCGCCCAGGTTGGAGTGCAATGGCACACTCTTGGCTCACCGCAACCTCTGCCTGCCGGGTTCAAGTGATTCTTGTGCCTCAGCCTCCCAAGTAGCAGGGATTACAGGTGTGCACCACCATGCCCAACTGTTTTTTGTATTTTTAAATAGAGACAGGGTTTCACCATGTTGGTCAGGCTGGTCTTGAACCCCTGACCACTTGATCCCTCAGATATCCTGACAGGTTTCTCTTAGATGCTACCAAAAGCCAGGGTCTTCATCCAGGAGCATGAACTCTGGATACACAAATAAATAAGCATTTTTCATCTGAATCAGACTAATTTTTCTTAGTACAAGTACTGCCTTAGGAAAGACTGCCTCCTTTACACATGTGAACCTACAACAAGGGAAAAAACATTCACTTACATTGACTGCAAGGTCTGCCTGGGCCATGTGCCATCTTCATTTTGAGGCTCAATTACTAGCACCTGAGTGAAAGGGGAAATCAAATGAAGAGAGTTCAAACCACTGCACTTCCAACATCCTTAGAAGCAGAAAGTATTTGGCCACACACACTGGCAAAACTACTTGCTGGGAATGGCCTGGGCCCTCCTACCTGACCCTGGTATAGCCCAGCATCCTGGACAGTGTTGTCCAGCTTGCTCAGCTGCTCGTAGGTGTTGCTCATGTATTTGTTCCAGAGCCGTGTTTCACGCTCTGCAGGGATGTTGAACAGTTTCCGCATCTCTTTCTCAATGGTTGCTAGGAACAGGGAGAAACATCACTTGAGGCTTTGTCCACATGCAAGGCTAAAGACAGCCATGGCAAACTAATGCTCATCCTCCTGCCTTTTCAGATGCTCACAGGTTCTCTGGGTCATCCCCCTAATGACTCCTAAGGCCAATCATCTCCCATGGGTGGCCTCTTGTACTCATACCTGGAAAGTCTCCCTATGCTTCTCCTTCTCTAATGTGTATCTCATTTATAGCACAAAAGCAACAAAGAAAGTAAGAAGGCTTATCTTTGGAGTCAACTCAGATATGGCTTCAAAACCTGGCTCTGCCACTTTCTGGCTTTATCTATTTTCTTTATTTTTGTTTATGTATTTATTTATTTATTTATTTTTGAGACAGGGTCTCACTCTGTTACCCAGGCTGAAATTCAGTGGCATGATCTTGGCTCACTGCAACCTCTGCCTCCCAGGTTCAAGCAATTCTCCTGTCTTAGCCTCCAAGTAGCTGGGACTACAGGTGTGTGCCACCGCGCCCAGCTAATTTTTGTATTTTTTAGCAGAAACAGGATTTCACCATATTGGTCAGGTTGGTCTCAATCTCTTGACCTCATGACCCATCCATCTTGGCCTCCCAAAGTGCTGACATTATAGGCATGAGCCACAAAGCCCAGCCGCGATTTTTTTTTTAAGACAGGATCTTTCTGATGCCCAGGCTGCAGTGCAGTAGTGGGATTGCAGTTCACTGTAAACCTTGCTGAGATTTTTAAATAAGTTACTTTTAAACTTCTCTGGATTACATTTCTTTATGTTCATCATCACAGACAAATGGCTAAGGAGCAGGCCCAGTGTCCTCTCCCTAAGAACAGGGAATAGGCTCCCAGGTTAGGACTGGCAACCTCAGCTTCCCTTCCATCAGCCACAATGTCCTACAGTCTCTCACCACATACCAGGGACCCCAGCCCAGCCTCTCACCAATGGTGTCTGCCTTGCTGAAATGGCAACTCAGCACATTTGTGGGGTCACTGTTTTCACACAGCTTCAGTTCCAGCAAATACACCTCAACTTTGCAGTGCTTGACAAACAGGCCATGCTCCACGACCTATGAACAAGAGGCAGGGGTGAGGGTGCAGTGGTTTTGCAGCTGGGCAGTCCTGGATGTAACATATCTTACCAGTAGCAAAAAGCAGAAAATTCCTGATAATCAGTTTCCTTTACTGATCAAGGGATCAAAAGGACAGATTTTTAAAGCCACCAGTGCCTAGACCAGGAGTTTAAAAATCTTTCTTCTGGCTGGGTGCAGTGGCTCACGCCAGTAATCTCAACAATCTGAGAGGCCAAGATGGGCAGGTCACTTGAGATTAGGAATTAGAGACCAGCCTGACCAACATGGTAAAACCCATCTCTACTAAAAATACAAAAATTAGCTGGGCATGGTGGCATGTACCTGTAATCTCAGCTACTCAGGAGGCTGAGACAGGAGAATCACTTGAACCAGGGAGGGAGAGGTTGCAGTGAGCAGAGATTGTGCCACTGCACTCCAGCCGGGTCAACAGAGCAAGACTCTGTCCCAAAAAACAACAAAAAACACTTTTTTCTACCCACTAAGACCAAGAGTATCTTGACAAAACCAGAGAAGCTTATTCTTCACTGTTTTTTTTTTTTAAAGATGGGGTCTTGTTCTGTCACCCAAGTTGGGGTGCAGGTACCACAATCACAGCTCACTGTAGCCTCAAACTCCTGGCCTCAAGTGATCCTCCAACCTCAGCCTCCCAAGCAGCTGAGTCTATAAGCATGTGCCACCACAAGCTGGTATTTTTCTTTTTGTAGAGATGGCATCTAGACATGCTACCCAGGCTGGTCCTGAATGCCTGGGCTCAAGCAATCCTTCTGCCTTGGCCACCTAAAAGTGTTGGGATTACAAGCGAGAGCCACTGCGCCAAGCTCCCCACTGGTTTTATTATCACACTAGGGCATCTAGGCAGGTCTCAGAAAGTTAGCTTTCAACACAGAGGTCTTGTTTCAGACATGGCAAAAGGACATTCTAATCAACTACCCTTCCCCTTAAAATATAAGCCTGAATATATGAAATTACTTTTTGTTTTTTTGAGACGGAGTCTTGCTCTGTCACCCAGACTGGAGTGTAGTGGCATGATCTTGGCTCACTACAACCTCTGCCTCCTGGGTTGAAGCAATTTTTCTTCCACAGCCTCTCTAGTAGCTAGGATTATAGGCTCCTGCCACCACACCCAGCTAACTTTTGTATTTTAGTAGAGATGGAGTTTCACCATGTTGGGCAGGTTGGTCTCAAACTCCAGACCTCAAGGAAACAACCTGTCTCAGCCTCCCAAAGTGCTGGGATTACAGGCATGAGCCACCACACCTGGCCCTATGAAACTGCTTTTCATATATATAATTTGGCACTGGGACAGTCACTAGCTCGTCGTTACCCAAAGATCAAAAGCTAATTAACTCATTACTTCAGAACTAATTACAAGAAAAGAGCAACGACTCATCCATAAAGCCAGACGCCATACAAAAGGCAAGTCATGGCCGGACGCGGTGGCTCATGCCTATAATCCCAGCACTTTGGGAGGCCGAGGCGGGTGGATCACGAGGTCAAGAGATCGAGACCATCCTGGTCAACATGGTGAAACCCCGTCTCTACTAAAAATACAAAAATTGTCTGGGCATGGTGGTGTGTGCCTGTAGTCCCAGCTACTCAGGAGGCTGAGGCAGGGGAATTGCTTCAACCCAGGAGGTGGAGGTTGCAATGAGCCGAGATTGTGCCATTGCACTCCAGTCTGGGTGACAACAGCGAAACTCCATCTCAAAAAAAAAAAGGCAAGTCACTTTTCATCTACAGTGGGATCATGATGCCTCCTCCCTTGCAGGGTTTGTCAAATTAGAAGACTAGAGAATATAGGTAAAGCCCTTAACAAAAAGCTGGCATGCCTCTCTAACGTTTTATTGATTTTTTTTTTTTTTTTTTTTTGAGACAGGGTCTCACTCTGTCACCCAGGCTGGAGTGCAGTGGCGTGAACATGGCTTACTGAAGTCTCAATCTCCATGGCTTACTGAAGCCTCAACCTCAAGCGATCCTTCCACCTCAGCCTCCCAAGTAGCTGCGACGACAGACGTATACACCATGCCCGGCTAATTTTTTTTTTTAACTTTTTGTAGAGACGAGATCTCACCATATCTCAAAATTCTGGGGTCCCAAAATGATGGGATTACAGCAGTGAGCCACCATGCCTGACCACCTCTGACCTTCTGATACCTAACCCCTCTCAGGGTCCCAGGTTTCAAGTTAGAGAAAAATAGAGTTTAGCCCTGAATAGTGACTCTCAGAAGCATGGTGTCAGGACTGCAGCACTTTCTTACTTTGATAAGAAAGAGAACTACAGACCTGGTAGAATGAGAAATTTACCCAGTTCCTAAATATCACCAGACATGTAGGCTCTTGTGATTTTCCCTTAGGAAGGATAGGCAAACAACTATAGGTGTCAGGGGTAGTGGTCTTCTCTCTCATGAGTCCTGTCTACAAGAGGAGTTAACAGTCTGGTATCTGTTTTAAAAAAATAAAATTAAAAGAAAAAAAAAACAGTCTGGTATCTGTTCCAGGGCCTGCCTTCCCTTAAGAGGTTAAATTTTTTCTTGACTATAAATGCCAGCTTTGTTTTTTTTTTTTTTTTGAGACGGAGTTTCACTCTTGTTACCCAGGCTGGAGTGCAATGGCGCGATCTTGTCTCACTGCAACCTCCGCCTCCTGGGTTCAAGCAATTCTCCTGCCTCAGCCTCCCGAGTAGCTGGGACTACAGGCGCGTACCACCATGCCCAGACAATTTTTTTTTGTATTTTTAGTAGAGATGGGGTTTCACCATGTTGACCAGGATGGTCTCAATCTCTTGGCCTCGTGATCCATCTGCCTCAGCCTCCCAAAGTGCTGAGATTACAGGCGTGAGCCACCGCGCCCAGCCAATGCCATCTTTTTAAATTACTCAACAATCTGATCAAAGACTCTTTTTTCTGAGACGAAGTCTCACTCCATCACCCAGGCTGGAGTGCAGTGGGGCCATCTCAGCTCACTGCGATCTTTGCCGCCCAGGTTCAAATTATTCTCCTGCCTCAGCCTGCCGAGTAGCTGGGATTACAAGTGCCTGCCACCACATCCAGCTAATTTTTGTAGTTTTTTGCTTTTTTTTTTTTCTTTAAGATGAAATCTCATTTGTTGCCCAAGCTGGAGTGCAGTGGCACGATCTCGGCTCACTGAAACCTCCACCGCCCAGGTTCAAGCAATTCTCCTGCCTCAGCCTCCCGCACAGCTGAAACTACAGGCACACACCACCAAGCCAAGCTAAGTTTTGTATTTTTAGCAGAGACAGTGGTTTCACTATGTTGGCCAAGCTGGTCTTGAACTCCTGACCTTATAATCTGCCTGCCTTGGCCTCCCAAAGTGCTGGGATTACAGGTGTGAGCCACCAGGCCCAGACTAATTTTTGTAGTTTTTAGGAGATGGGGTTTCACCATCTTAGCCAGGCTGGTCTTGAACTCCTGATCTCATGATCCATGCACCTTGGCCTCCCAAAGTGCTGGGATTATTGGCATGAGCCACTGCACCTGGACTGATCAAAAACTCAAGCATACATGGTAAAGCAGTATCATAAATGTTTTTTAAAATAAATAGGAAGCTACAAACCACAGTGTAGAAAGAAGGAAAAAAAAAAAAAAGATAAATAAGAAGCAGGACATTAACTATATGTCCATATGCCCTTAGTGAACTTTCTCACATAGAATCTTCCAGACAGTGATCTTCCAGCACTGCTGGGCACATTCCAAGGAACTGGGCTGCTCTGATGTTTAGCGGTCACTCACTATAACATCCTGGGTGAGCAACTTCGCTCACAACCACAATTTCCTAAAGAGAACCAGAAACAAGGCCGCAAGCACCACTATTCAACCACTCAGGTATATTCATTTTCTTAGGAAACAAATACTAGTCAGTGTCCGACAGAAAGCACCTGCAAACAGTGATGAGCAGGTGGGACGATTCACATTAACTCACTGTTCTGACGATGGGCTGCTGGCCTTCTACACAGCCGTACCAGTTTAGTAATTTATTCCAGGCCTCGGTGGGGACCAATACATAGTCCAATTCATCAATTAAGTGTTCTTTCAAGGTCTGACTCTCAGGATCTGAAAAAGAAAAAGAGCATGTAAGTCACTGCTCTTCACCCCAGAAATAATGGTTTTACATGATTTTTAAGCATATTTCAAAAAGAAGAAAATTATTTACAGAAATAGGTATGAAATTCCAAAATTCTGCTACTGGTCATTATACAGAGCAGACATTTGTCTTTATTCATGTTTTCTGAACATTTTATGAGGAACTTGTATTTCTTCTACAATTGGAGGAAGAGAAGAGGATTAAAAAAAGAAAAACTCTTCAAGATCAAGATAATGGTCAAAAAAATAAAAGAAAAAAGAAAAAAAAGAAAACCTTCATGCCAGGCACAGTGGCTCACGCTGCTAATACCAGAACTTTGGGAGGCTAAGGTAGACAGATCACAAAGTAAGAAAATCAAGACCGGTCGTGTGTGGTGGCTCACGCCTGTAATCCCAGCACTTTGAGAGGCCAAGATGGGTGAATCACCTGAGGTCAGGAGTTTGAGACCAGCCTGACCAACATGGAGAAACCCTGTCTCTATTTAGAAAAAAAGAAAGAAAAGAAAATCAAGACCATCCTGGCCAACATGGTGAAACCCCACCTCTATTAAAAATAAAAAAATTAGCTGAGTGTGGTGGTGCATGCCTGTAATCCCAGCTACTCAGGAGGCAAAGGCAGGAGAATCGCTTGAACCCAGAAGACAAATGTTGCAATGAGCTGAGATCATGCCATTGCAAGACAGCCTGGTGACAGAGCCAGACTCCATCTTAAATAATAAATATTGGGAGGCTGAGGCGGGTGGATCACAAGGTCAGGAGTTTGAGACCAGCCTGACCAAAATGGAGAAACCTCATCTCTACTAAAAATACAAAATTAACTGGGTGTGGTGGCATGCCTGTAATCCCAGCTACTCCAGAGGCTGAGGCAGGAGAATCAAGTGAACCCAAAAGGTGGAGGCTGCAGTGAGCCAAGACTGCGCCATTGTCCTCCAGCATAGGCAACAAGAGTGAAACTGCAACTCAAAAAAATAAAAATAAGGCCAGGAGCGGTGGCTCACGCCTGTAATCCCAGCATTTTGGGAGGCCGAGGCGGGCGGATCACGAGGTCAAGAGATCGAGACCATCCTGGCCATGGTGAAACCACGTCTCTACTAAAAGTACAAAAATTAGCCGGGCGTGGTGGCATGTGCCTGTGGTCCCAGGTACTTGGGAGGCTGAGGCGGAAGAATCGCTTGAACCCAGGCAGAGGTTGCAGTGAGCTGATATTGTGCCACTGCACTCCAGCCTGGCGACAGAGTAAGACTCCGTCTCAAAAAAAATAAATAAATAAAATAAAATATGTTGTTTAGGCCAGGTACGGTGACACCTATAATCCCAGCACTCTAGGAGGTCAAGGCAGGAGAATCACTTGAGCTCACCTTGAGGAGTTAAAGACCAGCCTGCGCAATGTGACAAAACCCCATCTCTACAAAAAGTGTAATAATTAGTCAGGTGTGGTGGCACCTGTAGTCCGTTACTTGGGAGCCTGAGGTAGGCGGATCACCTGTGGTGGGGAGGTCAACGTTGTAGTGAGCCATGATTGTGCTACTGCACTACAGCCTGGGTGACAGAGTGGCACCTTTTCTCAAAAAGAAAAAATAAACAAACAAAAAACTTTATATCAGCAATAAGGGTGTTTTACTCTCTTATCATTCACTTGTTCACTCGAGTAGCACTTTTTTTTTTTTTTTTTTTTTTGAGACGGAGTATCTCAGCTCACTGTAACCTCTGCCTCCCGGGTTCATGTGATTCTCCTGCCTCAGCCTCCCTAGTAGCTGGGATTACAGGTACATGCCACCACGCCCACCTAATTTTTGTATTTTTAGTAGAGACAGGGTTTCACCATGTTGACCAGGCTGGTCTCTAACTCCTGACCTCATGATCTGCCCACCTCACCCTCTCAAAGTGCTAGGATTACAGGTGTGAGCCACCAGCCTTTTTTTTTTTTTTTTTTTTTTTTTTGAGACGGAGTCTCACTTCTGTCGCCCAGGCTAGAGTGCAGTGGTGCAATCTCAGCTCACTGCAACCACCATTTCCTGGGTTCTTCCATCTCCCAGGCAACATGGCAAAATGCTGTCTCTACAAAAAAAAAAGAAAAAACCATACAAAAATGAGCCAGGCATGCTGGCAAGCACCTGTAGTCCTAGCTACTCAAGAGGCTGAGGTGAGAGGATCACTTAACTCCAGGAGGCTTACATTTACATTCACAACCTGGCTAGCTATATAGCACAAGAGGCCTAGCTTACAACCTATCTTGGATTCCTCAACCACACCCAATCATTTCTAGCTTTGATTTGAAGTGAGAGATATGCAACTCTTCTTTTCACTTGAAGCCGATGTTAGGGGTACTAAGCGGCCTAATTTCAGTATCATTGTGCTCAGGCAATAGGAAAGCCTGAGGAGAGGGAAAGAGATGGAATGGCTGGTTGGTGGAGCAATGGGAATATACACAGTAACTACCAATTAAGTTCTCTGTCTTATATGGGCTCCCTTCATGATGTCCCAAAACAAATACAATAGCAGCATTCCTGATCACTACAATAGAAAGATTCCTGATCACCACAAAAAATAATAATGAAAAACTTTTAAGTATTGTGAGAATTACCAAAATGTGGTAACAGAGACATGAAGGGAGCACATGCTGTTGTAAAACTGACACTGACAGACTGTTCAAGGCAGGGTTTCCAAATATCTACATAATTTGTTAAAAACCCAGTATCTGCAACATATAATAAATCAAAGCACAATAAACCCAGGTATACCTGAATTTAAAACCTTAAGAATTCTCAGTTTCATAAAAATGAGAAAAAATACAGGGCATGATGGCTCACGCCTGTAATCCCAGAACTTTGGGAGGCCAAGGCGGGAGGATCACCTGAGGTCAACAGTTTGAGACCAGCCTGGCAAACATAGTAAAACCCAATCTCTACTAAAAATACAAAAAATTAGCTGGGCATGGTAGCAGGCACCTGTAATCCCAGCTACCCAAGAGGCTGAGGCAGGAGAATTGCTTGAACCTGGGAGACAGAGGTTGCCTTGGGCTGAGGTAGCGCCCCTGCACTCCAGCCTGGGCGACCAACCCTGTCTCAAAAAGTAAAAATAAAATAAAAATATCCAGGTTAGTATTAGGTATACAGATCAAGTCTCATGCCTTGTCTGCCTTCCTGCTGCCCCGATTCTTTTTTTTTTTTTTTGAGATGGAGTCTTGCTGAAGTGCAGTGGCACGATCTCAGCTCACTGCAACCTCCAACTCCTGGGTTCAAGCAATTCTGCCTCAGCCTCCCGAGTAGCTGGGATTACAGGTGCCCACTATCATGCCCAGCAACTTTTTGTATTTTTAGGAGGGACAGGGTTTCGCCATCATGGCCAGGCTTTTCTTGAACTCCTAACCTCGTGATCCACTGGCCTCAATCTCCCAAAGTGCTAGGATTACAGGCGTGAGCCACCACGCCCGGTCTTTTTTTTTTTTTCTTCCCTTGAGAGGGTGTCTCGAGGCTGGAGTACAGCAATGTGATCTTGGCTCATTGCAACCTCTACCTCTCAGGTTTAAGCGATTCTTCTGCCTCAGCCTCCCGAGTAGCTGGGATTACAGGCACCCACCATGGCACCCAACTACTTTTTTGTACTTTAGTAAAGATGGGTTTTCACCATGTTGGCCAGGCTGGTCTCAAACTTCTGACCTCAGCTGATCCGCCCACCTCAGCCTCCCAAAGTCCTAAGATTAAGGCATGAGCCACTGCACCTGGCACTGCCCTGATTTTTGACAAACATGATAAATCACCTCTATTATGATTATCAAGAGGACTGAAGTCAGGCAGAAGAAAGCCTGGGAAAAGCTGACTCTGTCATCTCGGTACGAGTGCAAGCAAAGCTCTACATACTTTTCCCACAGTTCCCATTGGTAGCTGACTACAGTCATAACTCTGTCTCCTGACCTTCAACCACTCCTCACACTAGTACCATGATAAAAACAACCATCACAGGAATTCTTGATGAAAGTCCATAGTTTTACAATTTTTCCTACTGCAAAGGTAATAAAAAATTCTGGTTTTCCTTTTTCTTTTCGTTTTCTGAGACGAAGTTTCTCTCTTGTTGCCCAGGTTGGAGTGCAATGGTGTTATCTTGGCTCACCACAACCTCCACCTTCCAGGTTCAAATGATTCTCCTGCCTCAGCCTCCCAAGTAGCTGGGATCACAGGCATGCACCACGACACCTAGCTAATTTTGTATTTTTAGTAGAGAGGGGGTTTCTTTAGTTCAAGCTAGGCTGGTCTTGAACTCCCGACCTCAGGTGATCCACCCACCTTGGCCTCCCAAAGTGCTGGGATTAAAGGCATGAGCCACAGTGCCTAGCTCAAAAATTCTGGTTCTTAAATTTCAGATACAATTTCAAAATGACATCCTATTTCTTTCCACTCCATACAGTAACTTAAAATGTGAAATATCTAGAAGAATTAATTTGCAAAGAAAGAAAGTTAAAATGTTAGAAGGATGCTCTTGTCAGACAGTTAATTTAGGTGGAAAAAAGTAGCTTAACTTCTCATTAAGGGTTTGCAAAGGTTTTTGCTAAAGATGCAAATTGAGGATTCTTGTTTCTAACTCCTCATGCTAGGAGAGTTCACAATGTCCATTTTACAGATGCACATAACATCAGATCACTTGCCCAGGTAAACCTTTAGCTAGAAAAGCAACATTTACTTTACCTGAAAAGAGCCCAGAGTTGTCAATTGGGCCAGGAAATACGTTATGTTGACCCATACTGTACATGTCCCAGCTGTCAAAGCCCACATACTTCTTCCACTGCTTAAACCACCGGCTGTCAATAAGATACCTAGAGAGAGACAAAAATTTACTGTAGCAGAAAAGCTGAGATTAAAAATTTTGCAGCTGCTTCCTTAATCTTTTTTATGGTCCTTCCACTTGGGGCATATGTAAACCTCACTAAAAAACACTCTCGCAAGAGCAAGAGCAGGGCCCAGGCCCCACATGGCAGACTCTGGCCCAGGATATGCATCCATTAAGCGAAATGATTGTTCAAAAAGTGAATAAAAGAAAACAAGAGGCTTCAAAATGCTCATTTAAATGGAGTCTTTTTTTTTTTTTTTTTGAGACGACATTTTTGCTCTTGTTGTCTAGGTTAGAGTATAGTGGTATGATCTTTGCTCACTGCAACCTCTGCCTCCCAGGTTCAAGAAATGCTCTTGCCTCAGCCTCCCAAGTAGCTGGGATTCCGGGCATGTGCCACCATGCCCAGCTAATTTTTTTGTATTTTTAGTAGAGATGGGGTTTCACCATGTTGGCCAAGCTAGTCTCAAACTCCTGACCTCAGTGATCCTCCTGCCTTGGCATCCCAAAGTGCTGGGATTACAGGCATGAGCCACTGCGCCCAGCCTAAATGGAGTCTTTCTATGGGTAAAATCATGTTTGTTAATAAACAAGTCATTAATTTCATAATCTGTATAGAGGTCCCTGTCCAAGCAGACAGTTTGGTTATACTGTTTTGCTTGACATAAACAACACTAAACAACTAGGCTGGGTGCAGTGGCTCACACCTGTAATCCCAGCACTTTGGGAGGCTGAAGTGGGCAGATCACAAGGTCAAGAGATCAAGACCATCCTGGCCAACATGGTAAAACCCCGTATCTACTAAAAATACAAAAATTAGCCGGGCGTGATAGGGTGCACCTGTAGTCCCAGCCACTCAGGAGGCTAAGGCAAGAGAATCGCTTGAACCAGGGAGGTGGAGGTTGCAGTGAACCAAGATCGCGCCACTGCATTCCAGCCTGGCGACAGAGCGAGACTCTGTCTCAAAAAAAAAAAAAAGAAAGAAACACCACCCACGTTAGTCTTCCCTTAAGGGCCAAATGAGATCCAAAAATGTACACACAAGGCCAGGCGTGGTGGCTCACACTTGTAATCCCAGCACTTTGGGAGGCTGAGGAGGGTGAACCACTTGAGCTCAGGAGTTCAAGATCAGCCTGGGCAACATGGCAAAACCCCGTCTCTACTAAAAATACAAAAATTAGCTGGGCATGGTGGCGCATGCCTGTAGTCCCAGCTGCTTAGGAGGCTGAGGCACAAGAATCACTTGAACCTGGAAGACAGAAGCTGCAGTGAGCTGAGATCACACCACTGCACTCCAGTAATAAAACACTGTCTCAAAAAAAAAAGTATGTAACGTGTGTACATATATATACACATACACATGTACATATAATAGTGCTTAGGCATGTTCATCTTGTCAAAAGCATTAAGTCGTGCTTCATATTCAACTTACCACTTTTGTACTTAAATGTAAGCAAATCTGGTATTTTATCTATCTATCTATCTATCTATCTATCTATCTACCTAACTATCTATCTATCTATCTATTTATTTCCTTAGAGAGAGGGTCACCCAGGCTAGCGTGCAGTGGCATAATCATAGCTCTCCGTAGCTTCAAACTCCTGGGCTCAAGTGATCCTCCTGCCTTAGCCTCTGAGTAGCTGTGACTACAGGCACATACCACCACACCCAGCTAATTTATTTTTTATTTTTATTTTGTAGAGACTAGGTCTTGCTATGTTGCCCAGGCTGGTCTTGAACTCCTGGCCTCAAGTGATCCTCCCACCTCAGCCTCCCAAAGTACTGGGATTACAGGCATGAGCCACTGCACGAGACTTGTTTATATGTTTAAAGTATCGTTATGCGGTTTTACAATTAAAACAGAAAGAGGGAAAAATCTCTGTGGGGCAACAAAGCATCAACAATTATATTGGTGCAACCTTCAAATTTTATAACAAACATGTGAAGTCAGGCAGCTTCCCAGAGGTCACAAGGATCCATAAATACATCCAACTCTAAAATGCTATTTTTCTTCCAAATCGCTTGAGCAATATCTTCCACACAATTTTACTGTGTGATTTTAGTGTATCTTAAACGTCCTGTTTCTGCTGAGGAGCCCTATAGAGGTTAACTTAAAAAGTACCTTTACCAGCCCTATAGAGGTTAATTTAAAAAGTACCTCTGATTGCTCTGCCTTTCACAAACTGGCTAGCTCAAGGTGAATACATAAGCTGTATCTGTACTCCTCCTAAACCCAATTTTTCTATTCTCCCGCTCAATTCCTCTGCAGATGGTTTCTTAAAGATAGGTAACAATCATACTCATTGCAAAGTCTAGCCCTAGTTTTCTACTCCCACGCAATAATATCACCCAGGAATCTCTCCAGTAGTATAAAGTATTGTCCCCTCTACCAAACAATCTATTAAGACTGCTCACAACTCAGCCTTGGTTTTCTAAATTCTAGACTCTTATCTTCTGTCTAGCTCCAGGACCTAGGCTATCCTCCTCTCCCACTCCGAGATACTGCTGCCACAAATGTTTCTGACATTTGCTACCAAAATAAGCTGGGGTTCTCAGACACTTGTTCAGCTTCTGACCTTGACATCTGTTGGCAGTTTACAAGTTACAAAGTATCTACTTCTGATAGTCGTCTCAACCCACTGAGGGCAGTGAGCCAAATATTGTTATCCTGGTTCTAACAGGGAGGAATAAGGTCTGTGACACCTTCGCACAAGGTCACACGGCGAGTCCTCGATGGTAAAGGGCTCTTCCCACTCTCAGGGGCCCGCCAACACTCCCCTTCTCCAGATCCTTCCCCTTGGCCCCGCCAGGCCTGCCCCCTGGGGCTCCCAAAGAGCAGACAAGACCCCGAGCTCTCGCCTGCGCTCTCGCAGAGCTGATCCTGGAGTTCTCCTGAGGGGCGGGTGTCAGGCTACTCTTTCAGGGCCACTAAACACCATCCCCGCCCGATCCCTACTCTAGCCGAGAAAAGGGGGGCTGGCCTAAGGGCCTGACACTCAGCCCCTAGCTCCGCATAGGTGAGCCGGTGCTCACCACTGCGCCCCGCGTTGGAGTGTGGTCCTCATTAAGGCTCCAAGCTCGGACTTTTGAGTCTCCGCATCCGGTCGCTCACCACATCCTCCACCTTCCGCCATCTCGTCCGCGGCCCCGGCCCAGCCGGCCCGGACATCCGTCCCACGCCGGGCGTGCTATAGACCGCGCCCACGCACGCACGTACGCACGCACGCACGCCCGTGCCTCACGTCGCGCCCAGGCCTGCGGTTCCTGCGGCTGTTGTCTTTTTTTCCCTCCTCCCCTCTCACGCCGTCTTCCTCTGCTGCTAACAGTGGCGCGGAAAGGCAGACGGGAGAGGGGCAGGCGGGGAGCAGCAGCCTTTACTTCCTCCCGCACTGCTGGCCGCGTCTTGGCCGCCCGCTGTGCAGCCGTGGGGCTTCCCTTCCTCCGCTCATGACGGCGTTACACTCCCAAGCTCTGTCCAGCCCGCCGATCTCAGGGAGTCAGACAGCAAGCCCACGACCAGTCCGGCACCTCAGCCCGGCCTTCGAGGTTATCCTGGTCCTAAATAAACGCACGCCAGGTGCGAGAAGCCCCGTTGCTAGGTCTGCTCATTCTCACCCCTGCCATTCCGTTTTCAGCTGGAGACCTTAGCCGAGTCAGCTACCCAAACATGGGATCGGAGCTCTACCCAGCGGCCCTACAGTGATTTCGGGAAGTGCCCTGTGCACAGCGCCTTGGGACCAAGACGCAACGGTGTTCTGTAGTGATTAACAGTCGCCTTAAACAATCTAGACGCCAGAGCCACCTCGCCCACCACAGAATTCCGTCAGCTCTTCATACAGAGCTACTTGCCAAGCAGCCGCAGAGGGGCGATAGCAAGGAGGGAAGGAGAGATACTCCATATTGGGTACTCAAGCATCTTAGTTCCTTGAACAAGATAGATAAAACCTGTCCTGAACACTGTTTGCCAGGGGACCCGCTCACACAAACACACAGCCCTCCTCCTGGAGGGAGAAATAAATCCAGAGGAAAGAGGAAGTCAGACAGTTGGCCTAGATGAGTCTCCATTCACTCTCTTAACAGTTCTTGCCCTCAGAGAAAAGTAAGATCTGGTTCCTGTCCTCATACAACCTAGTAGAGAAGAGATGTTTCGGAAATAACCTCAGTGCCTAGCAGTATGTGGTAAGTGCCATTAAAGGGGGAGAACCAGGCCGGGTGCAGTGGTTCAAGCCTGTAATCCCAGCACTTTGGGAGGCTGAGGCGGGAGAAATGCTTGAGCCCAGGAATTCGAAACCAACCTCGGCAACATGGCGAAATCCCGTCTCTACAAAAAATACAAAAATTAGCCGGGCAGTGGCGTGCATCTGTGGTCCCAGCTACTCCGGAGGGTGAGGTGGGAGGATCGCTTGAGCCCTTGTGGTTGAGGTTGCAGTGAGCCAGGGTGGCGCCACTAAACTGGCAGAGTGAGACCCTGTGTCAAAAAAAAAAAAAAAAGTAAACAATACAAATAAAGGATGTGAACTGGCCAGGTGCGGTGGCTCACGCCTGTAATCCCAGCACTTTGGGAAGCCACGGTGGACGGATCACTTGTGGTCAGGAGTTTGAGACCAGCCTGACCAACATTGGGAAACCCAGTCCCTACTAAAAATGCAAAATTAGCTGGGGTGTGGGGGGGATCACGAGTTCAGAAGTTCAAGAAAAGCATGGCCAATATGGTGAAACCCTGTCTCTACTAAAAATACAAAAAAAAAAAAAAAAAAAAAAATTAGTGTGATGGCGTGCACCTATAGTCCCAGCTACCCGGGAGGCTGAGACAGAAAAATCGCTTGAACCCAGGAGGCAGAGGTTACAGTAAGCCCAGATCACTCCACTGCACTCCTGCCTGGGCAACAGAGCAAGACTCCGTCTCAAAAAAAAAAAAGGTTGTAGAATTGTAGAATGCCAGGCACAACCTTCCACTCTCGTAGGAAGCCTTTGACGAGTAGCATTTGAGTGTGGGATTGAAAAAAAAAATGGTAAAAAATAGGGCCAGGCGTAGTGGCTTATGCCTGGAATCCAAGCACTTTGGAGGCCAAGGACGTCAGATCACCTGAGGTCGGGAGTTCAAGACCAGCCTGACCAACATGGTGAAACCCTGTCTTAAATAAAAAAAGAAAAAAAAAATGCTGGCAGAATAAAGATGAGTATGCCTGTTACAGGAGTGGAGACTAAATGGATTAGAAGAAAATTTCTGGAACAAGCAGGACAGAATCAGAGAATGAGACTTAGGCCGGTTGAGCCGGGCACAACAGCCAAGGGGATCTAAAGCTAGAAAGGAGGCCAGAGAGAATATATTCTGCCTTAAAAGGTAGGCAGGCATAGTAGGAAGTTTTGGAACAGAGACAAAATGGCTGAGGGTGCTTCATACCCACAGTGGTGTAACTTAGTCACAGAACCATTAGGAACCTCTCACTATGGAGGTGGCTGTGAGGGAGAAGAGGAGAAACACATGAGCCTTGTCTGTTTTATTATTTTTCTATCCTATTCCTTTTAAAAATATGAGCTATATTTTGTGTCAGGGGTGAAGGAAGGGGAAGTGGCCCAGTGAAAATATGGTAGGTAATTTGAACAGATTTATTATTTTATGTTGGGTTTGGCTAATTGAAGTTAATTTGTACTCCCTGGGGCATCCATCACACACCATCTGATAAGGAAGGCCTCTTGGCAGTTGGGTAGATAATAGGGGAAAGTAATGTGGAGTTAAAACTGCCTTAAATAACCACATAGCAATTAATCCCCTGTAGATAAGAGTTACCACCACATAATGATTCTACATCTGCAGAGCCAACCCTGACAAGTCCCCTTCTATAAAAGTGCTTTGAAACTTTTTTTTTTCTGAGATAGATTCTTGCTCTGTCCCCCAGGCTGGAGTGCAGTGGCCGTCAACTCAGCTCACTGCAACCGCCACCTTCCGGATTCAAGCAATTCTCCTGCCTCTGCCTCCTGAGTAGCTAGGATTACAGGCATATACCACCACGGCCAGCTAATTTTTGTATTTTTAGTAGAGATGGGATTTCACTGTGTTGGTCAGGCTAGTCTCAAACTCCTGACCTCAGGTGATCCACCCCTCTCAGCCTGCCAAAGTACTGGGATTATAGGCATGAGCCACCACACACTGCTGAAACTCTTAAAAATGTTATCAAACCAGAAACACTACCTTTAGTCCTTTTATTTATGGAAAATGAAAATTGGTTACTGATATCACTTCAGAATCTACATTACAGGGTGTCTGCTTCCCTCTTCTTTTTTTGGCAGTTTCTCCTATACCATTTATGGCAGTCTTGAGGAGGACAAGTAGGACAAGTCCTCAGCACCACTTGAAAAGGGGACAAAACCTAATTATCAAAATGAAAAATTTGGCAAATATTTTAAGTCAGGAATTGAGTGCTTTTAATATCTATCAAAATAGTACAGTAATTATTGGTAATTCCTTAAAAATTAATATTAGGATTACAAAGTATTCTTCTTGATATCTGGTTATTTGGAGGAAAAAAAAAAAAAAGAAAAAGAAATAAAAGATTACAAAGTGCCAGTAGTTGAAATGTGAAGAATAAAGTGAACTCCATAGTTTGATCAACTTTTTAATTTTTTTTTTTTGAGACAGAGTCTTTGTTGCCCAGGCTGGAGTGCAGTGGTATAATCATGGCTCACTTGCAGCCTCGACCTCTTGGGCTCAAGTGATCCTCCTAACTCACCCTCCCGAATAGCTGGGACTACTGGTCTGCGTCACCATGCCCAGCTAATTTTGGTATTTTCAGTAGAGATGGAGTTTCACCATATTGCCCAGGCTGGTCTTGAACTACTAGCCTCAAGTGATACTCCCTTCTTGGCCTCCCAAGTGCTGGGATTCCAGGGATGGGCCACGGCGCCTGGACCACAAGGTCACTTTTATTTCCAAAGTCTTTAAATTTTGTTAACAAGTTTGTTTGATTTAAGTGGTGGGGGTGACCAGGCGCAGTGGCTCATGCCTGTAATCCCAGCCCTTTAGAAGGCTGGGTCAGGCAGATCATGAAGTCAGGAGGTCGTGACCCAGCCTGAACAACATGGTGAAACCCCATCTCTACTAAAAATACAAAAATTAGCCAGGTGTGGTGGCATGCACCGGTAATCCTAGCTACTCAGGAGGTTGAGGCAGGAGAATTGCTTGAACCTAGGAGGTGGAGGTTGCAGTGAGCTGGGATCACACACCATTGCACTCCATCCTGGGCAACAAGATTGAAACTGTATCAAAAAAATAAATTAAAAATGGTGGGGTTTTTTGTTTGTTTTTGAGGTAGGGTCTCATTCTGTCACCCCTGCTGGAGTAGTCTCTGCTCACTGCAATTTCTGCTCTGCCCCCCAGGGCTCAAGTGCTCTGCCTAACTCTGCCTCCCAAAATGCTGAGATTTTGCTGAGATTACAAGTATGAGCTACTGTGCTGAACCGTTTTTTGTTTTGTTTTGCTTTTTGAGACAGAGTCTCACTCTGTGGCCCAGGCTGGAGTACAGTGGCATGGTCTTAGCTCACTGCAACCTCCACCTCCTGGGTTCAAGCAATTCTCCTGCCATAGACTCACAGATAGCTGGGATTACAGATTAGCACTACCATGCCTGCCTAATCTGCGTGCGTGTGTGTGTGTGTGTGTGTGTGTGTGTGTTTTTCGAGACTGAGTCTCACTCTGTTGCCCAGGTTGGAGTTTAGTGGCGCCATCTCAGCTCACCGCAACCTCCGCCTCCTGGGTTCAAGTGATTCTTCTGCCACAGCCTCCCCAGTAGCTGGGACTACAGAACCATGCCACCATGCCTGGCTAATTTTTTTGTATTTTTAGTAGAGACATGGTTTCACCATGTTAGCCAGGAGGGTTCAATCTACTGACCTTGTGATCTGCCCGCCTTAGCCCCCCCAAAGTGTTAAGATTACAGGTATGAGCCACTGTGCCCAGCCATTTTTGTGTTTTTAGTAGAGACTGAGTTGCACCAAGTTGGCTAGGCTGGTCTCAAGTTCCTGACTTCAAGTGACCCACCCACCTCAGCCTACCAAAGTGCTGTGATTGCAGGCATGAGCCCCGTTTTGTTTGTTTGTTTGGGTTTTTTTTAGACACAGGGTCTCACTCTCTCACCTAGGATGGAGTACAGTGGCATGATCTGAGCTCACTGCAACCTCTGCCTCCCGGGTTCAAGAAATTCTCCTGCCTCAGCCTCCGGAGTAGCTGGTACTACAGGTGCATGCCACCATGCCTGGCTAATTTTTTGTATTTTTTTTTTTTTTTAGAGTCTCACTCCATCACAAGGTGCCAGACTGGAGTGCAGTGGCGTGATCTCGGCCCACTACAACCTCCGCCTCCCAGGTTCAAGTGATTCTCCTGTCTCAGCTTCCCGAGTAGCTGGTATTACTGCCATGCACCACCATACCTGGCAGATTTTGTATTTTTAGTAGAGGCGGGGTTTTTCCATGTTGATCAGGCGGGTCTCAAACTCCCAACCTCAGGTAATCCGCCAACCTCAGCCTCCCAAAGTGCAGGGATTACAGGTGTGAGCCACTGCACCTTGCCAATTTTTTGTATTTTTAGTAGAAACTGGGTTTTACCATGTTGCCCAGGCTGGTCATGAACTCCTGAGCTCAGGCAGTCCTCCCATCTTGGCCTCCCAAAGTGCTGGGATTACAGGTGTGAGCCACCACACCTGGCCCATATTTTTTTTAATTAATTTATGTTGATGTATTTTTTTTTTTTTTAGATGGAGTCTTACTGTGTGACCCAGGCTAGAGTTCAGTGGTACAATCTTGGCTCACTGAAACCTCCACCTCCTGGGTTCAAGCAGTTTCTCCTGCCTCAGCCTCCTGAGTAGCTGGGATTACAGGTGTGTGCCACAATACCCAGCTAAATTTTGTATTTTTAGTAGACGGGGTTTCACCATGTTTGTCAGGTTGGTCTCGAACTCCTGACCTCATGATCCACCCACCTCAACCTCCCAAAGTGCTGGATTTGCAGGCATGAGCTACTGCGCCTGGCTGGCCTGCCTAATTTTTGTGTTTTTAGTGAAAATGGGGTTTCACCATGTTGGCCAGGCTGGTCTTGAACTCCTGACCTTGTGATCTACCCACCTCAGCCTCCCAAAGTGCTAGATTACAGGAATGAGCCACTGCTCCCAGCCTGTTTATGTATT